ATGAGCCTAACTATGGGTTATGGTTAACGAAGTGTCCGATTAATGCGACTAATAAGTGAAATAAATTAAGAATAAACGCAATCTAGGAACGTTGCTGTGGTAACATCATTTACACAACTACTTCATAATAACTCAAATTTTAACATTCTTATTCTACATTATTTTGTACAGCTGATGAATTTTTAACAAACATTCTCACGTCAAAAAAGTACTGGTTAATGAAGAGGATTAATGTGAATTTGAGAGTTTTGCATCTCATTTAAAAACGATGGACTCGATTTCATAATCTTGTTTTTCTGATTGGAAAATTTTCGAAGTTGTTCGACCCATGTCCCAGAATTTTATTGTTTTCCTGAGTTGTAACCCTCAGCTTTTAAGTTGTTAGCACAGAATCAAACACAGTTGCAGTTAATCAATATGCATATATTCGCAATGCCAAATTGTTTATCAGTATAATTTAGAAGTGACAGTTTTAGAGAACAAATAATGACAATCGAAGACCATCATGAAAAGAGTTAATGTTATTACACTGCTTCATATGTTAACACTGCATATATTATTTACTCAATGCATTTATTGTGAGAAAAGCTGGCAAGAACTCGTCAATGTTTATTTGCTGATTGCGACTTTATCACTATCAGTGTGGCCGTAAAATTGACAAATCACAATTTCATCGTTTTTCAACAACAAACAACATGGATGAAATAAAACAACGTTCTCATCTAATGACTGATACAGTAATACATGAGTGAGATATTAATTTGTTCACTTCGAGAGGATAGGAAAGGAATGGCGAAGCAACAATTCATTTCACACAAGCAGCAAACTTTTAAATAGAAGTTTTCATGGATCAACAACTCTGCTGGATTAGTTCGCGCATACCAATTACATGCGTCTATAAACAAGCAGTGGGTAACGGCTGGCTACAAAGATGTGTCAAAGAAGATGCTGATAGCTAGATATGTGGAGCAGTCAATGTTTGCATCCTTTCGTGCGATGTTCTCAGTTAGAATCAGTAGGATTCTTGTGAGGAAACAGCAATCAACGAATGTCTAGTTAGTTACCATGGTGAAGAGTTGAGCAGTAAAGAAAAAAACATGAACTTAGCAGTAAATCAATTCGTTTTATGTAGGCTTTGTTGGGATAGATAGATAGATAAATCGATAATTCGAGGAGATATATGTAATGCTGGATGGATGGCTTAGGTTGTAAAAGTCGGATGTGATAGAAAGTGAATGCGTAATTTGAATAATGCTGCCTGCACCTGACGTCGATGACATCTGCGTTCAAGCTGAACAATTGGCTTTTTCGTCTGCATGTGCGCATATGCCCGTTCCCTACATTACATTCTCCAGCCCAAGTATCAACGTTCCGCTGCTGCACTACTTTGATCATTCTCCGTCAAGCTTCACATGTCCTTGAGTCGTACGTTGTAATTATTTGTATATTGCAGCATCGCATAAATGTTACTGCTTAGTGCTCAATGAATAGTCGCCTTAATGCATATGGAAGGAATCAAAAATTAAGAGCTGTTGGGAGCGCGGAAAATTGTTAGTGAGCAAGAAGGGAATGAGACTTGAACAGAGATCAGCAAAAAATTCATTCAAACAAATTAATGAGCGCAAGCCAGTTATGCGAACGAATATCCGCAGGCATGCACCTCACTGCAATGTGTTCTGATGAATATTGTTAGAAAGTAAGTCGCACGCTTCATTTGTTGCATAGTACTAGTGATGAATTTCGAAAAGAAATTATATATCATTATAGATTATTCGATATACTTCAAGCTTACAGCTGACTGAGTTTGTGTTAAAGATTCCTAACGATGAACACAACGTACTGGGTCACTTTCAACTTTACGAAGTGGTCGTTCAGCCTTAGTATGAGATTTGAGTACAAATTTGAGCGCGACTGCTGGTACTTATGATCGATATTTGCGTTTGAACGAAAGAGATGGATCGAATTGAGCCCGAGCAGAACACACAAATTACAGATGAGTTACTGATGAAATCACAGTTAATGTGCAGACGAAGAGTTTTGATGGATTTGTAGAGTAATGGTTCAAGCTAATGTGTTGCGGGGACGGGGAAATTCAGGGATCCCGTCCTTGACTTTTTGGAGCACACTGCAATTTCGGAATCCCCGATTGCAAAATTTCTTCCCCAACTTTCCCTATCCTTAACTTCTACGGAATTTTCGAGAATCCTCGGAAATTTTCGGGGATTTCTCCAAAATTTTTCCGAAAATTGATAAATTCGGATCAAAGCATCAAAAAAGTGAATTTTACCCACAATCAGTTCTTATCGAATCATCGCAAAAGACTTTTCAAATACTTGACTTTTTCATCGGAGACCTTATTCTACGTTTTTTCTTTCACTGCCGTCATTCCATCATGTTTATCGGAGTGCAATCGGCCTTCAAATTATTCACGAAATGCTTACCGGTTTATATTCATTCAATTTATGTTATTTCGTAACGTAGGATGTTTCAGGTATGTTAAGTTCTGATGAAATTTGTACTTTTCATTTTCTTAATTTTTGAAATTCTCCTATATTTAGTAATGTGAGTCATTTCGGAAAGTTTTGTTGTTTTTATTATCAAATGTTATGCACTGTCTTTTTTTACCTGTTGGAATAAACTATTATTATTAAAACTGCACTGTGGCCTCTCGTTCATCTCTGTTCTATCCTAATCGTAAAGATAGCTTATGTCAATGCTTTTCCATCAGAAATCCTTGTTTTCAATGTCCTACTCGTCCCAGTTCAAAGATTCCATTGCNAAAATTCGGGGACGGAGACCAGATTGAGTTTTTGCCTGAAATTCCTTGCCCCCAACATTTTCCGAACCGACTGCATTTTCGGGATCCTCGACTGCGAACTTTCGTTCCCGACTGTTTTCCTTTCCCGCAATACACTAGTTCAAGTAAATGCAATTCGATAACAGAATGTGGATTTGTGAATTCGATCGGTGCCACGCTCACTTAAAACGACAATAAACCACCACTGAAGCGTTTCAAAATGTTTCCAAAACTCGGAAATTTCACATTAGCGCCCGTGTTCATTGAAACACCGACGAATGGAGACGACATTGATCGTTTCAAATGCATCGCACCTTGTGACCAATCAACATCGACCGTGTCCGCAGCACCGAAATACGGTCCAAAGTGTGTGCCATTCGTGAAACGTGCGATTCTACCAACCGAGCCATCTTTTATTGGTACTTGCACCTAAACAACAGTCAACCAACAAACATCCTCTAATGCACTCCATAGCTCGCATCTTACTATCTTCAATAAGATTGAAGATAGCAAGATGCAAGCTAAATCAAAACATTTACCTGCGTTCCTTGACCGCCTTCTAGACCAAACTGTCTCAAGACCGGCATTCGCCAGCTACTCCTGGTCCCGTACAATCCTTTATGCCAATTAAAACCACGTTCTGTCGTTTGTTTCCAGTAGGTACGCAAACCAGTGTTCTCAGTAAGACCACCGCCCCATGAACCGAAATTGACCTGTTGATGAGTGCATATTAGTAATCATTTGTTCAGTTTTTTGTTGACGAATAAAATAAGAAATAAAATAGCGAGCGATGCTATACGAATATACCTTAGCATTTTTGCGTACACGCATACTACCTGCTTGATTTAAAGGATAGAAGGGTACACCATCCGCCGCAATATTTAGCATAGTCATCGCAGCACCTGACTGAAATGAATTCGCCAATTTTGCTATTGGACGTTTGTTGAAGATATAACGGGCACAATCAGTGCGAAATCCAGAACACTTATCGACGAATTCAATTGGTATGTTCGATTTGAAACAATGATGTGCTGCTGCTGAACGAGAATATCTAGTACAGAGCTTGGCGACTTCTTTCTTGCTAAAGCCGAGTTCCTCCAGTGGTATATACGCCTCCTAAAAAAATCATTCTGTCCGATGAGGGATCCTTATATTCTTTCTTTCAGAAGTAGCAACAGACTACTGAAGAAAAAGTGTATTTGAGAAATTACTTACAATGACTGACACAGGCGAAAGCCGATGAGAAACACTTTCAATGTGAGCGTCATTCGTCGTTGGACTGTGCTTGGTGACTTTTGGTCGTGTGTACTTGAATGGTTTGGGGAATGTAGACAACGAATTCGAGGTATCATCTCTGTTCGGTAACTTGCTGTTGGATCGTAAGTCAAACAATACTCTTCGAAACGATTTCACCGAACTAATCATCAAGAAGTTGAATAGAAGCAATTTCAGTAGGTCGATTCGAAGCGTCATTCTGAAAACATTGAGAGCAGATGCTCACAACTTCCGACAATTAGCTGCGCTACAGCATCTAGCAATAACCGTCACGCATAAGCTTTAAATGATCTATGAAAGAGTCACCTGAATGAATGCACTGTAGTTATCCAACCTCAGGTATCAAATACACTAACAAGTGGACAGATCAAAATGATTCGAATATCGATCGTTTGGAAACAATGATACTGTTTGGGCGATACCACTTTTCATTTGTTTCATAACCAACCCACTTGACAAATGAGCACGCATGAGATGACGAGCAACTTGATGACATGAACGCACTCATTCTTTGTTCATTGCAGGTCATTTAAAAACGAGATTGATAGTGATCAATTAGGAAAGATCAGTTTGCAACCGGCTGAAAGCGTACACCGAAAATGATGACTGCGTTGTGATCTTCGAATAATAGTTTTGGTTTCTACTGTATGTTGGGCATCACTACTGTATCACAATAAAAGCCTGAGTCATATTCTGGGATCAATTATACCAGAGAATATGAGTTGTGCCATTTAGAGAGTAAAAATGCGTCATTGGAAAATGATTAGTGGCATGTGATATAACCACAAGACTGTAAATAAGCATTTTATTTGCAAAAGTAAATTTATTTTACAATGGTAATTCACTTTGGTTCATTTTCGAAGTCTCTTATCCAAATGTTTCGTTTGCAATAATCTGATTATTGCACGCATCAGTATTCGAATCATACAACTCTGAGCATCACATAGAAACGATTTTTTCGACTGTCCACTTCAGCATTTCAAATGAACGACATAATATTCTCGAGAATCGTATTTCCATAACTATTCATCCGAATAATCGTCACTCACATCAGATCCTGTAAGATCACCAGCTAAGACTCTTTGCAGTTCTCTTTTTTGCTTGAACAGACTAGTAGTCTCCATTTTTGATTGAAAGAAGGCATAAATGAAAAGACTGAATAAATTTAAATGGATCTCACTTCTACAATAAATACACCTCACTATCAAGTAACCAATGCAAATCGCCACCATAAATGAAACGCACGATAACAATACCACAAACCATGTCTATAACTTGCTTTTTATTCTTTTCAAAAATTGAAGTCATTCTCTTTTTCAGAAATTCTCTCACTCAGTTGTTATCTATATTAAAATAAAATTTTTCGATTAAAACAAAAACCAAAATTTCGGCTCCAATTTCCAGATGCTTTGAGAATTGAGAGTTAATTGAATGAGGTCGCAAATAAGTGGTTCTCCAAAATCGAGAGTCAAAAATGTATTCTGCAAGATGTTAGTT